TCTCTCTCTCTCTCTCTCTCTCTCTCTCTCTCTCTCTCTCTCTCTCTCTCTCTCACACACACACACACACACACACACACACACACGAGCACAAGTAACGGAAAAGAAGGGAAACGAAAAAATGAGTGCCACATGGTGCAGCCATATGGTGCGATTTTGCACCTTTAGCATCCCCCCCGCACCCCTTCGAATTTCCCCCTAACTTTTCCTATTCTCCCTGCTTTCCCTCCCCTGTACTTTCCCCTCCTCTTCTCTTCCTTCCCCTTTGTCCTCCTCCTCCCCCTTCTCCTCCACCTCCATCTCTTTCTGCCTCCCTTCCCTCCCTCCTTTCAGGCTTTCGCCTTCCTTTCGCTCCTCCTCGTGTTCCTTTTCCTCTTTCTCGTCCTTGCCCTCCCCCTCATCTTCCTCATCCTTCCCCTTTGTCCTCCTCCTCCACCTTCTCCTCCAGCTTCATCTCTTTCTGCCTCCCTACCCTCCTTTCGCCTTCCTTTCGCTCCTCCTCGTGTTCCCCTTCCTCTTCCTCTTCCTCTTCCTCTTCCTCGCCCTCCCCCTCCTCTTCCTCGTCCTCCCCTTCACGTCGCTTCGTCTCCCTTTTGCGATCAGAGTCAGTAGGAAAGAAAAACAAAGACGTCATTATCATCTTAGCTTGTCCTCGCAAATAGTGCTCCTTATCTTTCACTAGATGACCCGTTGCGGCTTCGCCCGCAAAAACAGAAAAGGAAAAAAAGCACAAAAGAAAGAAAAAGCATAAGGAACTCCCCTATCATATTCCGCCGAGCCTTTTTTTCCCTTCATCTTTGAGTGTTTTGTTTGGGGAGCCATTACCTTCGCATCATCGTTTTTGTTTTGTGATGTGCAAGAACTCCTCCACTTTTCTGAGAAAATCCTGTCCATTGTCCCGTTGATGTTTTTGCAGCTAAAGATTCAGATTCAGACTTTGTTTGCTGTGTTCTCTGGATATGTTTGTGATCAACCCATCTTGCATGTATGCATGCCCCGTGCTTACTTGTTGAGTTTTTGCGATATGTGCACAAGTGCATGTGTGTGTGGGTGAGTCTCACTTTGGTGGGCTCGGATGATGTCATTGATGATTGGCCCGGGGAAGCTGGAAGTCGCCTCCAACAACAATAGGAGTGCCACTGATGTTAAGAAGCAGGGGTTTTGCATTGTATGAATGATGAAACAATCAGCAGCATTCAATCTGCTTCGCAGTTGCTCTTCGCGTGGGGGACTTGTCGGGAGTAGCATTGACACGAGAGCATTTTGGAGCATTTCCGGGAAGGCAAAACGCAAAGAAGAAACGAAGTAGTATGTGTCAGAGTCACATAACGGACAGCTTGGCACAGTCCGCCCCCTTCTCTCTCTCTCTCTCACACACACACAAAAAAAAAAAAAAAAAAAAATCAAAAGACAAAAGACAAAATCACCACCTCGCCGGCTTCCCCTCACCCTCCTTTCCGCCGTCTATCTCTCTCTCTCACACACACATACGGAAAAAAAATAGAGAAGAAAAAGACAAAAAAGCATGATGAACCTTTAACCTCCCCCCCAGTCACCGACTTCCTCCTAATCCTCATCGACTCCCCCATCTCTCTCTCTCTCTCATGCGCGCATCCCACTGTTTACTTTCCTGTAACCGTCCTCCCTTCCCCGTCCCTGTCACTCTCTCACACGCAAGAAAAAGAGACGCAAAAGGCCGGCTCCCCCTAATCCTCCTCCATTCCCGTCTCTCTCTCCCTCTCTCTCTCTCTCTCTCTCTCTCTCTCTCTCTC